AACTCAATTTAGCTCAGGGATTGTGTTTAGTTTATCCATTTATATAAATCGCGATAAATCGCCCTTTCATATGTTGTTAAGTTGAATTTCTCGTAAAATATTTTCTTATCGAGTAAAAATTAAACATGCCGCCACCAATTTCTATGTCCCAGAGATCTCGATTAATTGATCAGTGTAACAAAATTTGCACAATATTTTTGTTTTATACATGTGCCGAAGCGATTTTTGTGCAACAATTAGGAATATCATAAATCTACGTCACGTGATCAACTCAACAATCACAAAAATGCTTTAAAATAAAACCTAAAAAAAAATACATATATCATCTCAAGTTGACTGCAATTTCAAACAAGGATTACATATTAAAATTGAAATCTAGCTCAAAATAAAATGATTATTTTTATGGCTTTTAAGCCTTAGGACAGCCTTATCATATCTGCGTAGTGGAATTTTCTCTCCATAATCCTTAAAAAATCCGAAATTAGAATATAATCATCTATTTTCACTTGATGTAATTTTTCTAGGAAATACTTACATGTTTAAGTAGTTTAAAAATTTAAAATGTACTTATTCGTGTATGAAAAAAAGTTCCTATGACAAACAACAGCATGCAAAGTTCAGAGGAATACAAATGTGATATTACAATGAAGAAAAATTATACACAAAACAATACATGTTAAAAGATGTTTATGCCGATAAAGATTAGATTTCCTAACATAAAAAGAAACATAGTTAACACCCTAAGTACTAAAAGTGCTAAAAAAAACCAGAGACTTAGATAAAAAAAAATATTTGTTCTATCAACTGACAAAATATGAATTCTTATTAAAGTAAATATTGTTTTCAGAATTGGACAAAACGTGAAGAAATTAATGAAAAAAAATAGAGCAAACTGTATAAGTGATGGAATAAGGAAAGTTTTATTATACATGCCTTTTTCGAAAGGCATATGGAAAATTTTGGGCCAAAATGATGGAGAGAAAACTAAAAAAAAAATTCTTTTTATGATACCTCTGAAATGGCTTTTTTTTTTCGATGAATCTAACTCTAAAACATTACCTGAGAACACAGCGGCTGGTATAAGATGAAAGATAGGTTAATTGCAATTTGAAAAATAAGGTAGTATGAATCAAACGGAATATTCCTAAGAAACAAAATACCTGTAATAAGTACGAAAAGAATAATCATGATAGTTAAAGGGATACCTGATATATTCGGCCATAGCTGATTATCTAAATAAATACCAGGAAATATTTCGCGGTAGGAGTGCTGCAATTCTCACATGACTGTGTAATCGCAAATTTGACAGCATCTACAATGACAGTAACTAAAATCATTACTAAAGATAGCCGCACATTTCTTAGCTTGTGAATGCTCTTGATGCCTCTTTTGTTGGGGAGGAAAGTTTAATATAAAACTTGCAGGTGAAAAGGGAGTCTCCCATTTGCAGTATCCTTGCAAACGCTTATCAATGCAATCAATTTCATTTTCATACATAATTGCAGAAAAAATAAGGGGTGGGGATGGTTATGCTACAGAAATGACAATGACGATCATTATGTATATTACTGGACATTTTATTTAACTATTTTCGGATTGTTTAAATCAAATCACTGTTATAACATTTAAAATCGTACCCAACAATAATCTTTGTACTGTAAAAAGGATATATTTTCTCCTTAATGTTACGAAAGGTACGACTTTAGTATCATTTGAAATTTCGAACAGATATTTTTTGATAAAAAAAATACTAGATTTATCCTTGCATGTAGAAAAATTGTGCATTGTTATGTTGAGAAACATCTCTTTATTCCCATTCGCAAGCAATCCAAAAGTGTATGCGTCAACATCCAATGAATATCCCAAATAATGTGTATAACTATTGGTTACCCAAATCGATTCAGTAAAGTGATTTAAATTGTACATATCTAGGTCTAAAGTGTCAGTAGAAGTGATGTTGATGTACATGTATATAAGGTTCACCAGGGGTCCGAATGCTAATGCTTTAAACTCTGATGCATGGTTTTTCATAATACAGTGCATCCTGTATCAGACATATGTTCAATAGCAAAAGTGAGACCATTGGTGAATAATAACAGTTTAAACATTTTATCATGGGAAACTCTGGAAAAAAAGAGAATGAAAATATAAAATATTCAATGTTTGTAAGTGAATTTAGAATTCACATCTCGAGTTTTTAATTGACATAAGAGCGGAGATCAAGTGAAAAAAAAATTAAATAAATTTTGTCTCACTAATTCAATAGGAACCATATTCAACAAAAGAAATGTTTTCTCTCTGTAATATTTGCTACGATTTTGTTAGGATAGTGGACGAGACATTTTTTAAGGGCGTGTACATTAATAGGCGTTGAACCTAGACGCCATAGATTGCGGGTTGCGGAATCTTGGTCTTGAGTAGGTGGGGCGCTGGGTGTTGCTCCTGGAATACCCCTTATAATTGGTAATTACATTGGTTGAATACCCCTTATTGTTGGTATCTGCATTGGTGGTTTGTGGACGAAAACTTGACTGTCCATAGAATTGACCACTTGAATTTTGTTGGCGAAATATTTGTGCGGACCCAGTGTTTGAGGCTTGTGTAATGCAATGTATCTGTGGTTACTACCACATCGAAGACAGCTGTGTTTATACATGCATGGGAATTTGTCACAAGATCCCTTGTAATTGAAATTGTAGCATTTATCATTATTGGGTTTGGGTGCATTTGTTACGTTATAAGCAGGCCCAGAATGCATATACATTAACCATAATTCCGAGTCAATTTTCCCCCAGGAAGATACAGGATTTTGCTCTTTGCACAGCCTAAACTGCGTATCATATTCTTTCCAAGATATAGCCCCTCTGCTAACACCCATTCTTACGGTCTGTATGTACTTAAGTAGGTCAAGAGTCTTGGCGGGATGTGCACTCAAGTACACACTTGTAAATATGAGGATAAGGTCAGTCCATTGCTCAATATTTTCTACCTTTTTTGGGTTGGCATCTTTATAAATTATCTCACCCATACTATTTATAACTAATTTCTTTTCATCAGACCCTGATTTTGGTGTTTCCAATGTGGCCAAATCAATATACTGCCCACTAATAATACGTTGTTTGACTGTGCTAGAAACATTCATACCATTCATATGTATTGATGGGACAGGAGCAGGGGTGGTGCCAACATCTGTTGGAGTTGAGATTGTTGCTCCAGGGGTAGGCGGTGCAAAGGATGGCCCTGCACTTCTTGTCAACATGGGTTGCACTTCCGTCACAACAGAAGTTGATTGAGCCTGGGTCGGTGGTATTGGTACTGGACATCCTGCCGACGCCCTCGACGAGTATGTCTGGGAATTAACTGTAGCCTGACTACCACTTGGCTGCTGTGTGGCAGTCGCTGATGGTTGAGCCATTCTGCGCTTCTTAGCTCTCGATGACATCGTGACGATCGTGTTCAGAAAAGAAAAGAAAATAATTAGTTTTTATATATTGTTTTGTATATTTGTAAGAAAGAAATTTAAATTAATTATCTCTTCATTCTTGCATGCTTATTTCTTTTTATAAAGTAAGCCTAATTTTTTTTTATCTCCCCTTGGTATAGAAATCTGAAACGTGTCGAATCAATTTTATAAAACAAAGAAAAATTAATTAAGCCAAGGCAATATGATTTAAATCCTAACGATCAAGATAATTGACTTGATAATCATTATATCTTATCACATACTTACATCATATAATCTGTTTTAATGAAAACTTATATACAAAGTGGTCGGCTAATACAAAATGGCCACAACAGACGCTAGAAAAAATTATCATTATTAAATCAAGGAGCATCGGGAAATCATGAATAAATACTCCTAAATTGATTGCAGCAAACAACTACCAAATAGATAACAAAAACATCCATATGTATTATACCCATTAACTATTTTTCTAAATATCTAAATTTGCAAAAAAATTGTCCTTTAAAATTGCACCAACCTCATTCATATAGTCTGTGAATGAAAAGGGATTAACGGAAGTTGACTCAGGGGGAATAACTCTAATTGATTGTAGGGATTATAGGCGGATCTATGGATTTTATAATATGGGAAATTAACACTTTCTTCGATAAAAGCCTCCAATTCTAATTGAATTGGATATGATAATAATATTGATCTTTACTCGTACATGCATCTACAACATCAATGAAGTTATAAGTAGCTGACACAGTGTGTACAATTTTATCTCAAATTTGATCGACTTAGAGAAATGTAATTTTTAAGTGGTGACCATAATTTCGAAATCGCCGATATATAGCTGAAATATTGCCGATTCGGCGTAAAACATTAATTAATCAATCAATTATAATTCTACACGGTATAAATGCGAATTTAAATCCATCAGCTTGATCCTTAATTCTGTTTATTATATTCATATGTCTCAATAGAATGAATATACATGTATTAATTATCATGAGTATTCGGTAATTTTTAAATGAAATATATGTGTCATTACTTTGAATGCAGACTTTGAAATTGCGCATTCATTAGTCAAACTGCATCATTATTTTGAAGGATCTTAATACCCTGATAATGAAAAACTTTCTAAGAAAAAAAGTTCTGTATAAAACAAAAATTGAAGAGATTATTTAGTTTATTTTATTATTCCCTACTTTTTTCATTGATTGTATTAGCCTTAAACTTTGAAGGGATGGAATATAAAAAGACTTTTACAAAATTTGACTGAAAGCAAATTATTTATTTTTTATTTAATACTACTAATTTGTTTATATTTTTTCTTCAATACCCCCTCCTCCCTTGTAAAAACAATAGAACTATAGTCATGGACATGATATGAATATCATCTTAATTGCTTGCGATATTGCAAATCTGTGAATTATATTTATCAAGTTGCTATTTTAAAGCGTTTCAATCTTACAATTTGATTTAAAAAGAAATACCGTCTCCTAAAAATAGACTCTAAATTTAGATTTATTATCTATCTCAGCTAGTACATTCAAGAAAACATCAGGTAAAAAGAATGCATGAGTCATAGCGAAGAGTGGGTTTTCCGATTTCTTTTCTTTTTGTCCCTCCATGCACGCGGACTACGCTTTAACAGTGAGTATTGGAGAGAGAGATATAAAAAAGAGAGAAATTGATGCAAATAATATATATTTTACCAGATTTCTCAAAGAAATTTACTTGCATATGATTTTTCTTCACATGTTGTTTATAAAATTTTACTTTCGCTTTAACAGGTTGGGCACAGTTCCTTTTTTGGGGAAGTATAACTGTAAAAGGGAACTATTACTCTTTTCAGTAATGAAAACATTACTGAATTCGGGAATGTTCACTCATTTAGCCTCTATTCTCATGTTTGTTTTGAATAAAAGATAAAGTGCAAGAATATTTTCACATCCTCTTAATATTTATTGTCTATTAAATATATGTGTGCTCAAAACTGCAATATTTATGGCTGCAAAAAGCTGAAAAAGTGTGATGAAATATTTGTATGATGTAGATTTCTTACGGTAGCTTACCTGTGTTTAAATTGTGATAATGGATACGTTCAGCACTTGTTAACTCATTCATGAGATTACTCGGTCTAATTTAATTTTATTCTATTTCTTTAAATGAAATCGTAATAATAATTTTAAATATCATTGCTTCTTTTACAGATGAAAAAAAATTATTTGGAATATTAAATTTCAAACGACATTCTTTTAAACTTGTCCTGAAATGAATGCCCTTATTAGATTCCATACTTTTGGTACCATTTATCAACAGGGAAAATTATTAAATCTCATCTTACTCTTGTCTGCAGCAATGGAGGTCCGAATTTTTCAGTCAGCGAGGTTTGTTTGATAAAGATTAAACACATCACATTGTATTTTTTATACACTTTTTATTTAATAAATGGATTAGAGGCATTTTTTAAAAAATGTGACAAAAATTCCCCAAGTGAGTAATGTTTTTATTACTGAAAAGAGTAATAGTTCCCGTTTACAGTAATACTTCCCCCAAAAAAGAACTGTGCCCAACCTGTTTAACATTATTATCCGATATATAATATAAAGCTTTATGTTTTAAATGTTTCAAAGTATCTCAATAGCTTTGCTTTCGATAGAGTTGGGAAAAAAGTAAATGAATACTACATTTGAAATAGATTGTGACATAAAAATAATGAAAATAAACATACATTAAAAATCTTTCGGGATCAGATAAACAACTACTCACAGAATTTAATGGACAATAATTGTTGTGTGTCAACAAATGAGAGAGAGAGAGAGAGATTTCAATAGTTTTTGTAATTTATATGTCTTCCATTTATATTCAAAATCTCTTCATTGTATTTATTTTGTAATTTATTCCATTTTGTTTATTCCTCTATTGTTTCAAACATAATTTTAGATGTCTTCACAAGTAATCACTCTGTACCTGCTAATTATGAAAGGTATGTGCATTTTATTGTTTTTTTTCAATAATAATTAATTGCTGACATAAATGACAAAGAGACGTTTGTCTTTAAAAAAAAGATGTTTTTGTAAAACACTATGCGCCCGACGTCAAGTTCAAAAAAGCTTTCATTAAGATTTTAGGTCACTTTAAGAAAACAAGTTCATTGATCTTGGTGTTATTTGAAAAAGCTTAATAAGTGGGGTATGTATTTCAGATATAAAGTCTCTATCTCTTACGGTTCAAAAGTTCTGGCTGAGATGAAAGCTGACAACAGACAGATAAGCAGAAGAAACTAACAGACAAGTCAAAAATAATAATTATGCATCCCTATTTATCGATCCGGGCGCATAAAAACCGTTTTATTATCAAAACTGCATACATTCATGGAGTAATGCTCACTTATCTTTCATCTCCTAAAGCTACATATGTTTTATGGCTTCTTTCTGTTATTGCACGCATTCGAGAAAACTTTGTGTGAGATGGGTGGAAAAAATCAAGCAGACTATAAAAAAAAAATAATATTTTTCATTTTTTTAATATTGAAATATTAAACAAAGTTTTTTATGACCTTCAAAAACTCAGATTCCAGTTGTCGAGATGCAAGACAGATTTAGAGCTGCAAACCGTTGTTATGTAAACACGATCCGTGTGATGATTTCTTTACACAGGTTTATATACTTAAACATGTTTGTTTAAAGCAGAATATTTAAGTGGAGAAGTTTATTTTAGATACCATTAGACATTTTCTGGTGATTTACTAGTTGCTTGTATTGATTTTAAGATTAATGATTCTATAAATTGTTCATTGATTTACATTACTTAATATATCCCTTTTGCTTTTGAACATTTATTTATCTACTTTAAGAAGGGTAATGATCATGCAAGGAACATTTCCTTAAAGTTTGTCTCACTGAATTCAAATTTTCTGCAATAATTTGAGATTTAAAAAATAGGAAAGACTGCAGCTGTTTTAAATATGAACACAGAGACAATGCATAAAAAAATTAAACATGCCTTTAACAATATTGCTATGGGTGCTATAATCTGATACTCACTTAATAAAAAAAAAATAGACATTCAGTAATTACATGATAAAATTACTATAGAGAAAATGTAAAAGAAAACATTCAGACTAAAAGATAATGCTAATGTAATGTCGTCTAGAAGAATTTGAAACAACCGTATATTTTGACTATTTCCCTTCTTTGCTTGGTTCATTCATCAGGAAGAGGTTGCTATTCTGAAAGATTTAAGGTTCTAGAATTCAACGTAAACTCCCTCTAATAACCTTTTTGTTAAAATATTACGTTGTCTTTTAGAGGTGATCTCCAAAAAAAAAAAACAACTCAATATTGATAATTTACTTTATTGTTGGCAGCCGTTAAATTAAACTGACATTCAAATCATTAGGAACTTTCATTATTATTAATTAACAAATGATTTGAAGACGTTGCAGGAAAAGAGGGTTGGGATTCAAGGAAAAAACAAATGCTTGTTCATGTATTTTTTATCATTGTAGGCGTGTTATCAGCGTCCATTTTGCAATGTCCATTAAATAAAACAGAATGGGAAAACAAATCAAAGAAGTTCTTTTGTCAAGGAAGTGAGGAATACCATTGTTTTCTTATGGAGGATGCACTGTCTAGAAGGGAAAGCTGTATTGAAGTAGCTAAAATAGTTGAAGGTTGGGACAATATTAACTTTTATATTGATTACAAGTAATGAAAATTACGTTGTATAAATTAAGGTATCACACTCGTATAAATAAGTTTAAGCAAGGATTTTAGAAATATTTTTTGGAGGAGTACTTATGTGAAGTGACTAAAACTTGCAAAGAATGGGGGGTCGACGTACATCTCATTGAGCTAGAGAACAGCTAGGTTGACCGTTTTGTTCTTAAGTAGTAAGTCTTTGCTACTTTTATCATATTTTCTATATGATGTAGCCATGACACTACTAAAATCTTTCATATTTCAGAATTTAAAATCTAAATTTGCACTGAGATATTTTCTTGTAAAAAACTTTTTATGACTTAAGAGCTGATTGGTGGAAAGTATTGATCAGTTTAAAATAATGACAAAAAAGGTTGTGGCAAGTTTAAGTGAAGTGAATTTAGAAATATTTGTCAGGTTAACAATTTTTGGGTAAACAACTCTGCATATTTTAAGATTGATTGGTTGAGTGTATGTTATTTAACGTCCGTCTTAAAAATGTTTCACTCATATGGAGACCCTACCACTTGCTTATGAAGTACGGGAAATTCTGTGATATACTCGGCACTCATGATTATTCAGCAAGGAAGGATCTTTTTCGTACCAGCACCTCCTGCAACACGGGACCTCGGTTTATATACGGTCTTATCCGAAGAACTGGTCTCTGCAGTGGGATTTGAACCCGCGACGTAAAGATGAACTCCCTCTTTCGCGAATCTAGAACTTTTTGAGACCTCCTATCAAATACTATGCAAAATTATCAAGTCGGTGAAAATTTTCAAATCTGTTCTTTTGAAAAGTGATTTATCGTTCTCATACCTACACTCATCAGCATGTCTGACGGTAAATAAGCTATGATGAAAGAAATGTACATTATTCTATATTGACACTCAAAATGACCAGCATTTCTGCAATCGTGTGCTTTAAATATGTTAGACATATTTTCATATGGAAGTAAAACTATACTTTCCTGCTATAAATGAATTGCTGTAAATCTAAAGCACACTCCTCTTGTGATTTTGTCAGACTTAAGAATTCATCTCTTCAGTTAAGCAATACTTTCAAATTTTTACAAACATTTTATCATGAACGGAACTTTCTTAACAACCCATATATCACAGTATTTAATATATGTAGGATATTGCCCAATATTCACCACGACTGGCTACTTACATTGGAGATCATGTAATATGACAGGTTGTCCACAAATGAGGTACCGAAGTAATGAGGTCTACAAATGTAAGAAACACTGTGAAACATATTTTTGAAATTAAAATTTATTGAATTGCATCTTTTTTAATCTATCTCAAACTGAGTCTAAACAGACATCACCTTTCCTTTGCAGATCCAATATGCTATGGAGATATAAAAGATAATAATAATGGACTTGAGGGGTAAGAAAAGAGGATCAACATGATGATTATCAAGGCATTGCTTCTTTGTCCATTGCTTTGATGTGTCTTGTCATATGCCCCCACATCAATATTCCCTTGTTACAATGCTCAAAGAGGTTTACGAACATTTCCACGCGTTTGGGTAATCTGTAATAGGATTTAATAATTTTGATAATAATTAGACAATATTTTCAATACATATTATGTCTTTTGCTATTTTGTTTATTATCAAATGCGATTTTCAATTTCATAGCATGATACCTTTTTTGCACCCTTTTTATCTGTTTAATTTTTAAATACGACATATCTCTGTATCCCATATGCACAGACAAAGACTGTTGATAGAAAATCCAAACGTTTGACGTTGATATTATTTTCACCTTCAATTAAATGAAATTTTATTTTAGAATCCTTTAGGAATACTCAAACTAATCAAGAAATATTAAACATTTTTTTTAAAAGGACACATAGGATTAATCCTGGCAAACCAAATAGAAAACTAAAACAAGACAAAAAGCATTTTTCTAAATGGCAAAATTTTCTTTTATGATTGTCGATACAAGTACGTGTATATTATATTTTGATTTTGAATTCTCATTTACAGGTCAGGGGAAAGTGGAATAAACCTTGGGTTGATACTTGGAATTGGAATTTCACTTATGCTCATTGCTCTTTGTATAACTTCTTTTTTTGTCATCGCTAGAAGGAGGCATAATAGTATATATCCTTATAACACTTCATTTGCCTGTCAGAAAATAAAGTCAGGAAGTCAAAAGGGCATACTCTTTGTACCTTGCGAATTCAAATTCTTTAAACAACTACACATATACGTACATGTTTATGCTTAATTTGTCTTGTAGACAGAATACTTACTGGAATTTTAACACTAGCCTAACATAAATAGTAAAGATAAAGAGAGAAATTGATATTTTAGATAGAGGCAATACAACACTCGAGATTGGCAATTCCGAGGAAATTGTGGAGCTTGTTACACATAACCATGAACAAGGTAAAAGTAATTGATTTCTAAATCCGGATGATTGAATTAACATGTGTTTTGGCTGCATATACACTTACCGTATAAACCAGTATGTATATCAGTGATCTTAAAAGGTAGTTATATGTCTCCAGGTAAAAAAAAAATCCATTGACCTTTTAACTCTCGGGGGCTATATTTTGCAAGAATAAATTTTTGATTTTTAATCAATATTCAATTGTATTTTTTAAAGATAAAGTCATTGAAAATGTGATTTTTTTTTTAATCTTTTTTTTTTTAAATAATTTTCAATTCTTTTAGCGAAATACAAATATATGTATGTGACTATGTTTTACGTCCAAGTTTTATGAAAATTCCTGAATTTTTTTTTTATTTTTCAAAAAGTTCAATATATGATTGTTGGCAACGTCTTTTCGTAAAGTGTAAATAGTCTTTTGAGTTTTAATATAAATTTACTTCCAATGAAGAATAATCAAGAAGAAGATATTGTTCGGACAAAGATATTTCCCCATGTTTTTATTTCAAAGCAATAATTTAAAGCATTATTACATTTGTATAAAACAGAAAATACCCCCAGGTATTTTATTGGAAATAAAGTTTGATAATGGTTACAACATACCTATTATTATTCAGATGAATTCGTCATCAATGGAGTTGCAGCCCTCGTCTCTGGAAAGCTACTCTATGTTGTTGGAAAACTCGGTAATTCAGTTTCTACCACTGGGAAAGATATCGTGACAACGTTTGCAAAGGACAAAGGAATGAAACCCTGTTTTTATCATTATTTAGACTTTCCAGAAGAATTTCCGAAAGAAACCGTAAACTTTATAGATGGGTGGGGTGGCTTGTGGAATTATAATCCCTGTGAGATGAAGGATACAATTGCAAAAAGTAGACTGAAAAAAATAATTTCTTATGATAATCCTTCTGCGCCAAATGTCAAGTTTATCGTTGGAATTCGAAGTGACCTAAAGGAAAAACTAAGGAAATATAAAATAAATTTTTGAGAACACGAAACTTTATCACTGGATAATTTCTCAAAATCTAAGTAGGAAAATGATACAAACAGACTTCAATTGACACAGACCAATTGTTCTATTATTAACTGTAGATGTAAATCTATAACAATTGGGGATCTTAAAGATATTTCTTTTACACATATTGGAATACCTTTGATGGTTACTCTGATGGACATAGATCGTAGTATGATAAACGGATTTTTGTCAAAAGAAATAGGACCTATGGAAGCATTAAAAAAACATATACGAGATACAAAATCAAATGATGAAATGCTCTTTAATTTAATTCTTTATATAGTTTTTTACGGGTATTACGATCAGTATGAAATTAGGGATGAATTTGAACAGGAGTTCGGCGTAGCAAAAGATTGCCTTCAAAACGATGTCGATTCGGAGAAATTGCAGAAATACACAAAAACAATAAATAAATCAAAACTTGCTTCGATGTGGTCGGACAATCAAGACAATAAAGACAACGGTTCTTCTCAAAACGTTCTTGTATTTTGGCATAATTTTCTGTATATATGTGCATTTCATGTCTGTTTTGAGTCATATCTTGACGAAATGATACGCGTTTGCAACATTGATGCATTACTTCAGCTGCTTCGTCCGAAGGGGTCGAAAAAAAAGAGAGGTATACTATTCAAATAGACCCTTCTTTGATCGATAAAATTCATGAAAGACTTCAGGGAACCTGGGTTGAGAATAAATGGTCTGAGCATCCTTTGAGTAGACATGAAACACAAAAAAGGAAGGACTTAGACCGACGCAAGACACATTTCTTGTAAGAGGTCTGCAAACGAGGAGGATTACATTAAAAAAAGTCATTTTTCCATTTCTTTTTTTCAATTTCTGCATTCTTGAAGAGTGGAGTGTTGTGGCCGAAGAACATCTCTTATGTAGAACACGAAGATGCCTTGAATGTGGGCTTAGCTTTAGCCTACATTTACCTGTAAACAGCTTCTTTATCTACTTGAAACATGTGAAATATTTGCTTTGAATAAAAAAAACATTTTGCAGTTATTTTTAATATTTTTTATATTTATCGATAAATATGAAAAAATTAAAAACAATATTCGTTGAAATAAAGTTTTACTGAAATGGTATCGCATTATTACCAAGATTTTCACTATTTATATGTATGTTCAGTATGTTCAGGCTAAAAACAATTTTGAATATGTAGAAAGTCGACTATCAATTACTGTTAGAGAGTAAGTTGGTCTGAACTTCAATCAAATCTGATTTTTTTCAAAGTACTACAAATAATCATTTTAATGTGAATACTTATGAACACGAAAATTTAGTTATCGTTTTCTATTGTTTTGACAAATTTCACTGTCCTTTCATTCGTTTGGAGAATGCCACTTAACTCTTATGCATAGCATATTTTGCAGAGTCGTATGAATGGGACTGAAATGAAAGTAAACTTTCCAAAAAAGGAAACTATATTTATGTAAGCATCAAATTTGCATTTATATTTTTTTCAAAAATTGGGTGATAAGGTACTATCAATGTCGTATCGGGATTGCATCTTCTCAAAATCAACTTATTCATAATATGTATACCAAATATTAATAACACTTAATTCGTCATTAATTACATATGTAGGTTGTAGGACTACATTAAGATAGAACCATGCGATATATTTTCAAAGAAAATGCTAATCTATTTTACAGATTTTACGTAAGATAAAAAATCCGATACGAAGCACATCGGAAAATGAGAAAGTGCAGTGCCTGAAAAACAGCGTGGTCAGCTACGTACCTTGTTACGTTTTTTCTAGCACAGCTGCTCTATACTTCAATATAAAGTTGACACAAGGTTGTAACGAATGCCGTGTAAATGATTTATTTAGTATTTATGTTTTAACTTTTTGCTGAGTGGTTTATTTTCATTTTTTTAGTATCTTACTGAATTTACTAATTATACAATGAACAATTAAGAAAACATATAGTTAAGCGATTATGAAAAAAAGAGTCTCTGAAGTAAAATTAATAACACAGATGAGAAACTAATGACTTTTCAACTAATCAATTTAAACAACACCAACTGAAAAAAAATAGATTGGTTTAAACTTTATGTATTTCTATTAATTATGAATGCCAAAAAATATTGTGATTTAATTCTGGTTTCGGGAAAAGGAGGATAGTAAGATATCCAATTATGGATATAATTTTCCAAATAATACAACTAGATACTGATGAGTTTCCTAACCTTTCACTGCTATGTAATTTTGAACCACTGACAAAAGGCTATGATTTCTAGTGTTTTTGTGTGATCACTTTCGGTATCATTCATCCTTTGTATGGTGTATAGATAAAAATCTGCTGACACATGCCAATCTAATCACTGTATTAAGTTGACACATGGATTTACATTTTCTGAGTCCTGGAAAGAACATGTAAATCAAGAGGATATAGGAAAAACATCACTAAAGGAAAAGACACTGTCGAGTCTGGACTATGAAAATAAACTCAATAGAAAACAGATGTTGACGTGAATTATTGTTGATATGCTTTGAAAAATACGGTCTTCACCACCATTTTTTTTCAGGAATTCAGCATAAAGTTTTTTTAGGGGTGGGGGTTGTTTATGTTGTTTGCATTATTTTATTAATTCACTAGGGCCGACGTAATGCTGAATAAAAAGGGACATCTGACACTAAGAGTAGAAACTGAAGTTACATAATGAACAGTTGAATCGCAAAACATACATTTATTGTAGGTTTAGATAAAAATAAAGTTTCTTTTTGGACCTTCAAAAAAACATCAAAACCAAATTGCTTAAAAACAGCACAATGAAACAAATGAAACCTCGAGCTCTCATAAGTTTCCTGGTTATAGCGGAACATGTTGTCGGTAAGCTATTGATCTTAAAAATCAGATGAGTAGGATAAAAACTGATAAAAAAAATATGCGTAGTGAAGAAACGTCTTTCTTAGATATTTTATTAATAAATAAAGGTTCACAAACTTCAATTCATTGAAAAAAGGCCTTGGTTATTCTTTTAAAAAGAAATTATTATGACTAACTCATGAGGAAATCTCTAATTATTTTTCACACATAAATTTACACAAGTTATATGATCGTTAATGTGAATATGTATTAAATTTTATATTCATCAATGTAGTTACCATTATCAGACACAATTCTTATTTTTATTCATTTGTATTACTCCTATGTACACAAACAAAATGATTTTGACAAAGCTATAATTGTTTTAATTTGTCTCTGGTGACAATATCCAATGTCTTACGAAATATGATATCATTAATACTCTTTCTGAAGAGAAGGCAGTATAAAAATATGACAAATTAAACATATATTGAATACAATTGATAAAATTGCATTCAATTAATTTCGACAAACTTCAATTATTGATTATCAAATACCCATTGTTTGTCAAGGAAATCTTTGATTTGAAAATATTTAGATTGATTGATTGATTGTATATTGTTTAACGACCCTCTTAATATTTTTTAAAACATATGGAGACATCACCGTATGCCGGTGAAGGGCTTCAAAGTTTGACCTTTACTCGGAACTTAGGGCCATTGAGCAGTGAGGGATCTTTATCTTGCCAATACCTGCCGTTAACATGGGGCCTTAGTTTTTTAGGTTTCATCCGAAGGACCCGCAACTTTCACTTCAAAGTGCCGAGCACATGGCGAAGGAACATTTGCTACCCATTTTTTTTTATCGACTTAGTTCAGTTGCGGCCGAGATACGAACTCACGACCTCCCGATCAAGGAGCGAGCACTCAACCTACTGAGCTACCGTGAACGGTGAAAATATTGTTTAGATGAAAATCTGACATTATGAGACAGAAACATTATTCATTTAACTGAATATTCATTGAAAGATCTGAAGAAATGGTTGAGTGTCAGAGCTCAGTCAATTTGTCATTTACACTTTTCCATTTTTTGTTACACATTGAATTAATCAACTTTTTATGTGTTATTTATTTCAAAATAAACATGCATTTTATAATTTTGATACAGTTTGAATTGCAAAAAATGTCCCGCATTATTGACAGCTTTTCATTAATAATAAAATATTTCTTAAGAAAAAAAAAATTACACTGATCGATCAAAAAGTGATCGACGAAAATTACAAATATTTGAGCAGAGAGTAGTTAAGTACATACAGAAGTAGCCAGATTGCAGTCGGAAAAAGAAGTCACCATAAATGTGTAACTTTTAAAAAGAAACAATGTTTTTATCTATTACATTATTAATAGTGTACCATGCATTTAGAAGAAAGCAATATATTCCAATGTCATATTTAATAAAAGGTTTCTTTTATAATATTTGTTATAACAATAAAAGCTTGGGTTTACTCACCATTGATGCGGAAATGTTACATTTGTTAAGTTCATTTCATTTCTAAAGCAACTAAAATTAAATAAGTTGTTGATAGCTCACAGTGACTAATCAGAAAAAAAATTACAAACAAATTAAATTTGTAAAGAATGCATAAAAGCGGATCCATGATTCTAAGACAAAATATTTGAAGATAAGGAAGAGCTTTCAAGCCCAACGTCCATTATACAATATCAATTTTGAAACAGAGCAAATACGGATCTCCAAAATATCAGTGGTAAAATCAACTGCCATGGAATACTAAGCATCCCCTGCCAACTGCTTTCACCCAATTGTGCTCTTTGTTGATATCGAGAAATAGTGGGGAAAAAATCCTCTTACAATTCAGTGCGGAAATCATTGCATATTATTTACTACGAAAAAAGTCAGCATTTGACTTAATGATAGATTACCTAAAATGAATGTGTCTATAAACAAATTAATCGGCCATAGCGCATAAGTCCTATTTCAAACATCATTATAATGTGGAGAATCAATACTATCTCATTTCCTTAAAAAAATGTTTCCTGTGAAAATCCAGGTGAAAAAACTAAAGTCTAAATATTGTTGTAGTGTTTTTGACTTGTGCAAAAATTAGAAGTATCTGAAAACCTAATGTAAAATATAAAATAAAATCTGAGCCAACCAGTCTATTTAAAACGTAAATTTCTAGTGCTAATTGTTAGACCATTATTTACACACTGAGTTTTCCACGGATTTTATAGGTTATTTCCCGGTCATTACAAGGAGAACACGGCAGGTGTGACCGGTATGAAGGGGATAATCACATCTCTATGGCACCTAATCCAACCTCTGCTGTTATGGAGATCCATGGTTTTTTTTTCTCCTATATAGTATTTTCTGTTGGACTTTTGAGCTTGAAAAATGTTCGTTATCTAAATAAATTCCCTTACAAAAGTAAATGATTAATAAAAATTCATAATTATGATAATGTCCATTAACACAGAATTTTGAGACAATCAATTTCGTGTATTATATAGAATTTACTGTGAATTTTAACATTCATTTACACTTATTGGCACTATAAAAGGGTGGGAGATTGTCAAGCAATTTTTAAATTTCAGAACATTCTGAAGAAAATCTCAGATGACGAGACTTTATTATTCAGTAAACTGAATGTTCATTGAATGATCTAGATTCATGCATGAAAAATGGGTTGATTTATTGGTTTAATCACTTTATATATGATAAGACTAATAACAACAATTACAACATGTACTCCCTAAAATTATAAGAACAATACCTTATGAAAAATTAGAAAGAAAAAAAAACATTAAATCGACTGTTAATGATATCGCAATTTGTTTGTATATGTACATGTACTATAGCTATTCAATTTACAAATGATACTACATGGTATCTTCAGTGAGTTTTTTCTTCAAAGTACAATATGAGACACAGTTAGTTGGGTTTTATCATCATGAGCGTCTCCGTTACCTCTCTGGCATCTTTGACTGTAGGATACCATGGATAGAGCCAGCGGTTAGAAGACCAAAGGCCGTTAAGGAAGGCATCACCACAGAAGTTAAACCACCAGCCTCCATCGTGAATACCAGCACAGCTCATCGAAAAATGTCTGTCATTATCTCTGTCCACGGTACTAAAAGGCATTCCAGACAGTTCAGCTCCAGACTTCCCGGGGTGTAATATGCTGTCGCCTGTAAAATGTAAAGAACATGTTGAAAGGTTGATTTTCTATAAGGCCCTTTTCCGGCCTACGATAAAATCACTTTAAAATGTGATTTTATGTTACTATGATCATTCTATTTAATGATTTTGATGTATGTTTGTAAGCATCGATCACTTAAGTCACGTGATTCAGAGATCACAAATGACCGTCGGTTTAAGAAAGAATGAGGGTAGGTCTATACGCATCAAGTTTCTATGCATGTTTCTGAATGCAAATAATCAAAAATTGTTTATTTATGTCGGAAATACATTCGAAGTTTTAATTTCAAGCTCAATATATTTTTTTTTTATGAGAAGAATCTTGATGAATTCAAATTTTGCGTATTTTGAATGTAAATCTTAACAAAATGCACACCGTATGATGCTGAAAAAGGGTTTGATAAGCACGTTATGAAAAAAAAATCACATTATATAAGTTAATATTGTAATTGTATATAATTTCTATAGACGTAGTACATATTTTAAGCATAAAATGGCCATGTAAGAAACGAGTTTTCTAAGTTTCTATTGAACTATATAAGTTATGCATCAAATGTTGAAAGCACTAAGTGGATTTTGATTGCTATTAAATAAAACGGAAATTGTAATTAAAAGAATAAATTCAATACTTGCAACAAATAAAAAGAAATTGATTAGCATTATAAACATATCAATGCGAGTACATTTTGACTATACATGTGAATAGCCATTGCATAAAAATCAGAGTAGGTGCATTGAAATACTAGTATATATTTCTAGGAAAAATTGCTTTGATTTTATTGAATTACTCATGTTTCAGGGTTAATTAAAATGCCATCTTAAATAAATAATATATATACCAATATAGGAAAGTTGAGAAACAACCTCACCCTCGTTTCAAACGACATTGCATGAAAATAGAGTAGCTTTTGATGCTCGTTTCGCACTCTTGAAACTTGAAGGTTAAATTCAGTCTCTTTCCCACTGTAGCTTAAAACATCCACGGTGTTTAACACAGGAAGTGAGAATTCCTATCCTACATATGAGTTTCAAGCATAAAAAGTAAATGGCATAGGTCGTTTTGATATTATATTTTTAAAAAAGAGGTGTCCTTCTAAAAGTTCGAGACGAGATTTTTTTTTTGTTATAAATCCATCCCATCAGCTTTCCCTCCCTATCTATGAGAGTTATACCTGTACGCCAAGAAAATGGAAAATGCACCTTACCGCTACAACAAATATATTTTTCACCATTTCTCAAACAATTACGAGGTATATAGTACTCATAAGGGAATTCAAAGAATATATACAGTGCTCATAAGGAAACAGAACGAAGTAGCATAGATAGATCAACTAAACTATCATTATATAGATAAGTAATTTTATCTCATGCGTGTTATGAATACAGCCCATTAGATAAACTTATGCTTTATTGACAGGTATATGATTTACCAATAGCACTTCCGGTTTTGACACGATCCCTCTCTTCAAGATTTTATTTTATTAAAACATATTTGTGAAAATTATTGCCCTAATAAAATGAATGATGAAGAACGATAATATCATTAACAGCAAGAAAAAGACTCTTATATATCAAAGAAGTAATTTATTTTTATCAAGGAACCTGTATTGGCTACCTGAAGGCAGATGTTACCCCCCACCCCACCCCTTTAAATCGTTTTCGGAGAAAGTAAAGCCTAACAATTAATTTGTTGTCATAAGATTCCTTAAACATTTACAATAATGTTTTCTTATATTATACTACGTATGCCTACCTAGTTATCTAAGTGTATCTTACTATGGATCAACAATGAATCTACAAGTAGGCCCCTAGCCTTGCCTAACAAGTTTTGTACTGCCATCGTCCAAAGAGTTTATTTTCACGATCCCATGGTCCTTACAACTTTCAGTCAGAAGTTCGTTTCATGTAAAGCTCAAGCAATTGTCACATAATGTTTTCAAAGACGCGGATAGCAAAAATTCTACATTTTGAACACGATCTACTTTCTTTCGAGACATATGAACATCAACGGTTCTACGTCATCAAGTTATACGTCATCATCTTCGCAGGAGAAGTCTCAAAGTTCTGTTAAAACGAAAGTCGTATGATATTAATAGAACATCTATAATTGTGTGATTTGATATTGGCTTTATCCAACTCTTTGAAATGGCGTATATTCGCTCGGCAATCCTTGCGAATATATACACCAATTCAACTCGTTGGATAAAGTCAATATCAAATCATACAATATAGATATCTTCTATATAATGGATAACTTTATTTACGCCGTTTTGTCGGTAAAAAAGCTTTTTTAGGAATTACAAGCAGACATTTCAACGAGACGTCTCCAATATTGTAAATTCATGACCTCCAGTCTTCTTAGTCCTTTAATTTAAGATTTGTTAAATTAAAAGGCTGACAATTCTTTAGTATATATGCATGGCTTATACTAATTCTTAATAAATAAATCTAAAATTTACTCTAAAAAAAAATCGTGAAAGGAAATAATCAGCATAAAATGATATCCTTCATTGTGAGTAGTTAGCTTTTTCTGCAAATATCATTAACTTTATGTTAAAAGTATTTATTTACAGGTAATAACCACTTTTACCAAGTTCATAATTTGGAAGTCACTTTTCATGTTTATGAAAAGAATACATCCAAATTTTGGTGTTGGTTAAAGGTGGTTATGACATGCTTAGAATTTATCTAAAACAGCCACCCTCCTGAGTTTACCCATTACTCTAATGATAGAACGGAGCGATAGTACCTTACTTTGTGACCCTTTATCATAACAAATAATATTTTATCATTTACCAATCAATATTTATCATTAAATTGGAACATAAGCCCACTGATTCATGCAATTTTTAAGTGAAAAGATACTATTTGAAAATTTGAAGTCATTGTAGGCCGCAAAACAACCTTATAGAGAATGATCCTAAAAGGAAATAAATAGTTAACACAAGTGACACAAATTGAAAAAAAATAAATATAGAGAAAAAATATAGCATAAAAATTCCAGTTCATGCCATTCTGTTTTCGTTAAAATTGACGTTAGCCATGGATCTTCTTTGACAGTTATTGTTCTTATAAGAATTTTCATTAGTTTGACATGATGAGAGAACAGAACATTTGTTAAAATTCATTTGTTTGATAGCGATTATTATCTAAGATTAAGAAAATGAAGTGAAAAAATTTTGCTATCGGTAAACATTACAGAGAGTTAAAATTTAAAAAGCATAATGTCTCATTTTTACAATCTCTCTCTCTCTCTCTCTCTCTCTCTCTCTCTCTCAACTTTTATCTGGACATTTATAATATTAACACATTCTACATCTCATTTACCTAAGGTTCCTCCAGCTGACCGTCCAAGAGAAAGTGTGTAGTTATCTGCTTCATCAGAGATAGAAAACTGTATATATTTTTCATATAAGTTTGTTCCATTTTTTAATTTAATGGAGATAAAAAGAGATGTTTATTTCCCCTTGGTAAGCTTGTGGATAGCCTCATTTCCTTAAAGATAATATTGTGGAGAAAGGTTAAATATAAATGTTAAAAATACATAGTTATACCAAATATGTTGTATGACCAAAAATGAATTGAACATTATAAAGAGTAGACATCCGTGAGCAAAATACATACGATTATATAATATTGTTATGTCTAAGACAAAAATGACTCTCAGCCATTTGTCAAGGGACGTCAACAAGATATTACCTATCCAATAAGAGTCTTCTGCGTTTCCGAATCCTGTTTTATACACGGACCATTTCTGGTTAAACTTCACTCTTCCACTAGTCCGTTTTTGGATTACCTAAAAATTCCAAGATTTGCATAAAAGTTCCGCTCTTCTTATTTATCATCATATTATAATCATATTTTTTAAAGCCCGTTATTTATATTCTAGTTTTTCTTTTCTTTTTTTTTTTTTTTTACTTTTTTGTACTGACTAGGCAAAGTTTCAATATAGTTCTTTTTTGTGATTTAAATGCAGCATTTTTTTATGACAGTATAAGCAGGAATATATTAACTTAAAGTTGCGTAGACATATTTTTCTGCTGTTTTTTTTTTTCTTTTACTTATTTATTATTTTAATTCCAGAATTTAAAAGCAAGGGAGATAAATCTTACTGTCCACGCCCCTCCCCCTGTTTCCATATCACAGTACACTGTGACTCTCGTCTCGTTATCAAACGGATTTATATCGTATATGCCAGACTCTGTGTTTCCAAGTCGATATAGGTAATGGCAATCCCTCTGAAGTTTAATGCCTATATTTAAAAACGACATAAAAATGTAGATGGTATCAAAAAGTGAACAACGAGTATGTATTCCGTATAGCTTAAGATTTCATTCAAGTTCTTTTCTAGTATCACACGAATTCAAAATACATGTACAATGCCATTATTATAAAATCTATTTCTAGTTTCTATTTTCAATAGAAATCAAAACCCTCAAATTAAAAAAAAAAAGAAACACCTTGGGAGTTGAAGAGAATTTTTGAATGGTATTAAAACAATTTGAAAGTGTTTGCGAAGTTTATAAGATTAAAACAAGACGAGCAAAAGCATCTCTCAAGTAGTGAATAATAGAAATAAAATCGGAGCAGAATCTTAAGGAAGATGATTTATTCAAAATATTTTTGCTTGTATGTCTTATATATTTAGATGTAAGAAATTTACAAGATAATATGTTTTCTTTCCTCATCACAATTGCACAACTTTAAATAATATTGGTAAACTGAGTTTAAAAAATAGCAGAAACTACATGCATATTTTTGGCGGAATGGCGGCGTATGCAATTGCAGATGTACGACCAAAAAAGTGTTCTTCCTTTTTATGATGTCAAAAATCTACATTTACATTTGATAAATTCTAGCAAGAAATGGTTTAAACTACAAAATATATGTGGTATTTTCAAAATGTTCTGCATCTGCAATTTTGGTTTCAAATTATTTTTTTCTTGCATCTTATGCGTATGAAGTTGTCATCTTTTCTGCTCTCTAAAATATTGTAGAACACTTGATTTAGTTATATTTTTAGTAACTTTTTACACAAGCAAAAAAAAAAAAAGATTGAAGAAAAAAATCAGATGTAAGTTAAAGTAATTATCAAGAAGCTAAGTTTTAAGATATATCTATTAAATTTGATTTTCATAAAAAGTATAATTATTTAAGCTTTTAAAGTATTCAAATCTTAAATGTAGTTCAGATTTGAGCATGAAAATCTGTAAACAGTTTTATTTTCTTTTAGAGTCAAGAATCAAAACCTTCTGTTTTGTAATGTTTTTTTTTGTTATCTTTCGGTGACAATTTTACTATATGTGGAAATAAAAAAAATCTAAATCTAAATCTAGGAAGCATATGAAAATAAATCTAAAAAAATATTTAAAAATTTAGAAATTCGGATACGCCAGTTTCAATTTTAGTTTTGATTTTGAGTTTTAATTTTGCAAAAAACCTGCACACATACACACCCTTACACACATAGAGAATTACCTTTTTCGGCTATTGGCAATGTCCTGTTATTTACAATTTCATAGATATCGGCAATATCTTCTTTCAGCTTTTCCTCAACTTTCTGAATCTGTTGTTGAACATTCATCGAACATTTCTTGTCGTCTCTCGTCTGCTCCTGACTAGGCGTACCACTTTGAGTTTTCAACGTTTCTATATCCTGTTGTAAAGTTGAGATTATTGTTTCTGCAGATTGTATACTACGCTTCAGATAACTAACGTCTTCAATTACTGCATTTAAATTCTTGACCACTGCTATACGGATGAGAGTTTCCTGGTTTATGAGCTGTCGTAGAACATCAATGTCCTTCATTTCACGTCTGTCAAGTACTAAAACCGAAGAGTCTGTATCTTCCGTACCGGTTAACAAGGAAGCCGCCCTAGCTTTACAGATTGCTATAGAATATATAAACAGAAATACAGACTTCATTATTTACATTTAAAGGTGATGATGCTACAGAAGGAATAAAACCCGTTATGTTTCGCTCCGAGATGAGATACGGTATAAATATAACCATATGCTTGGCAAATTTCCCAAAAGCAACCGAGTCTTATCATAATAACATATGACAAAACCTGATATTTCATGTATAGAAAGATAAACTTATTATAAGGGACGTTTCGTCTTACAGACTTTACCTTGTTTTTCTCCATTGGAGTTTGAAAATGATACATACTATAGGATTTGAAGCTCTTCACTTTTTACAGTGAATTTTTAAATGAAAAAAATTAATTTTAGCTGTTACACGTCATTTGATTGGTTAAACGGTTTTATCCATTTTGTATAACATAACTTGACGGCGTCACAATGAGTTACGTCAAAAACGTATTACTCCGCTTGACGTTTACTTTGAAAATATGAGATATTTGAAGATTTTTTCCGAAGGAAAAAATGGAAGAAAATTGTCTCATTGTTTACATTGAAATTAAATTATAAGGAATTAATCTTATTTCATCTTATGTTATACGATATAAAATAACTTGGGGCAGTTTACGCTTTTTTAAAAACCTCTTCGCAGTTTATAGAGCGTAATCTGCCCCAAGGTATGTTATATCGTATAACAAAGTTGAAATTAGCTTCATTCCTTAAATACCTTAAGATACAATATTAATATGTATGAAAACGTTCGTATGGATAACAAGATCCCACAATGAAATAATACTAGGGTTACCGTGTTACCATGGCAACATGTTGCACAATGGCCAGAACTATTTGTGAACAAACTGATTTATTTAAAATTTTGGGTTGCAGTATTTATATCTTTGCTAGCACTAAAATATGCAAAATTTATTATGGTGGTGTTCTGAATGCTTTAGAAATATAAAATGAAAAGTACTTCTTTGTATTCAAACACTTATCAAGCTTAAATGTCCATTGAAAGAAATATATATCCGAATTCATGAGAGATTAGATCAAATTGAATGTTATTGGTATTGCACTGCGTTTCTGTATCACGAGTCTCTTCTCCTTGTCATTTATAATTTTATCATCCTAAATACCATATTATTTTTAATACAGTAAATAAACATAATAATACTTAATCACAATCCGTGCTTCCTAAATATCAAAGCTATTAGTGTCCAATACCAATATATACTGTACGTTGGCTGTACATCAGAATATCTTGTAACACAATCAGTGAGGCTTTATCATCATACAATCACACAATGTTCCCGTTACATAACTGTCATTACTACATGTGGTGCATAAAGACACATCATAGACGTTCTGTAATGCACTTATACATGCTATTTTATGATAAGGACTTCCCCTATCTCAATTTCATATCTAAGATTTGCTTGAATGCCAAGGACAAATCATTAATGTTTTGTAACCTACGAAATGATGCTTGTTATTCTTATAACCTGTTACTGAATTTTACATAGTTTTTCTTTACATGACGTTCAGGTTACAAAGAAAAGTATATAAATATAACATATACATATAGCACTCTAATACTTGTTTTGAATATATTATTCATCATATCTGATTATTTATCAAAGTCAAAAACAGAAAACATGTGAAGTGATTAATCGCAATTAAAATCTACATACATTTAAATTCTATGAACAGACCATAATATCCAGAAAATACCTCATAACAAAGAAAATGGGCACACTTAGTTGGCAACATTTCAGTTTTAAATGTACAAGCCCCACTTTTATCTTTTACATAATATTTTATGCAATTAACCTAGATACTTCACGGGAATGGATTTTGGAATTATTTGTTAATTTGTTTTTTCATTGTTTCAACTAAAAGACGCCCTGAAGGATTGAATATCTATCCTCCATACATTTCATAAATATGATAGAAGAAATATTGAAATATATTAAATATTTCCTTCAGGTTTAACTTTCGTTTTACACGTATCTTTATTTAAAACATTTTTGTGACGTCATTCTTTTGTATCTACAGTCTCGTATTTCAAAGAGGGCTAGCTATAGTCCAATATTATTGTCAAGAGTACAATATTATATCTAATATTGTACTCCAAAATAATACTGGACTGTGTGAAACACAGGATTTTGCACAGCGAATGAATAAGGCAGAAAATGAACAAACATTATGCATTTTATATAGAAATCAACAATCTCGTAATCCAATTCAAGCAATGGAGCAATCAACATCTCGTAATCCAAATTCAACTTTATAGAAACCAATTTATGCAACGAAACTTCAAAATAGGAGTATCTCAGAAATCCAGTAGAATTTACACTCCATCCAGACAGGTCACTGATTGTGAAACGTCCGATATCGAAGCACTTATCTTAAACTGGTGATTTTTCCGAAAACACATCCAAATAAACCCACGTAAAGTGGTCCATTGTAGAGCATTACATTCGGACAAGTTTACACTCAATCTCTTAATATATCCCGTACAACTCCGAATTTTTTTCCCGGAAAATTTAATTTCACAATATATTTCCAAATTCGTTTACGTAAAGATGTGGTGCTTTCGATATCAAAGGGACAAAAACGGCACTTTCCTGGAATTTATTGCTAATGGTTACTTACAATCTGCATACGTTAAAAAAAGATCCTTCACAATACTCTCAGAATCGCTTATATCATGAAGTTGCTCAGCTCTTCTTAATGCATCCGTAGAGTGTCGCTACGATAAATAATATATGATTGGGGTTCAATAAAGGTTTTTAAATCAAAATATATTCATCCCTTTGAAAGAAATATCTGAAACCCTTAAGCGCCCCATCCATCTGGTTTGGTCACCGTCACAAGTATCATATTATGACAATAGCAATACAAAAGTGCATTGAAAAAATGTTTTAAGTAAGATACAAAACTCAGATGGTCTATTATGTCAGATACGGGACTGAGACTCGGTGCTTTGCACCTCGTCCCAGTCCCGTATCTGACATATTAGACCATCTTCGTCTTGTATCCCTTACATATATATATATTTACTATATACTAGTTAAAAAAGTTGCTGGTCATCGTAATATGTCTCGCAATAAGTTAAATGCTGAATGAAATTAAATTTTGCATCTATATGTCACCTTTTAGATCTTGCATATTCCAAATGTCAAGATATTTATACTCGCACTGTAACTGTAAATGTGACTACGTTCAACAAATGAGGTTGTTGGCATGATAACACCATAAACGCAACAATCTAGCAATAGAAAGGCAAACTTTGAAATTATTAGCAAAAAATCTAACGAGAAGACATATTGATATTTTTATCAATTGTCTGGATTTCTCCTCCTCTTGAAATTTTAAAATCCTGATTAATTCGTCTACGAAATGGCTTAAAACGTCATTTTCCCATATATTTCAATAGTAAAGGGTTTAAAAAAAGTACTAAAAACTATACCGCGTTTACAGTAATTTAACATTAAAACTACGTAGGCAATTGTAATAAAAATTGCAGATAATCCGTTGTAAATTCAAAGGAACATTATGTCAAATTTTCAGGATATATTTTCTCATAAGAATTTTTATGCAGTAAACCCGCAACCTACCTTAAGGTAGGTCGCGGGTTTGCTTTTGTCATAAATTTTGGTACACACTTTTCTCGATTCGAACGGTTGTTTTGTGCACATTTGATTATGACCTCAGTTACGTCACAAAGGCAACGTCACGTTGTTTCCCGTTTAATTTAACAAAAGGTTCATGCTTTTGTACGTAAACCTCTTACATGTTTTATAATTAAATTTCAGTCTGAATTCTGATGTAATTATATGTAATGTCTTAGGACTAATTAAATACCGAATGAAAGCAAAAAATAACATTTGAAGTGTAACTAAACTGCTAAAAGTCAATCAGAATAAATCAGGGTAGAAGTTATGGATTGCAGAAAGAAAGTCATCATGAATAAAAAAATTGCTTAGCGAGAAACTTGAAGCATTGTATGTGCGCACGTTATTTGAAACTCAGGGGAACTTAATTTCAAATCAAAGCCGGGGCGAAAATATGCGTATGTACACTTTTCAGGATGGAAATTAATCCTCATCACTAAAAACAAGTTATATTTAATTACAAGTATATTTTCCTGGTTTTTTTTTTAAATTATCATCATTAATATTCGTTGGTATTTATGTATTTAAATCTCGTGCACTCACCTTGTGTTTTGCTTGCTAATAAGTTGTGAAATGCATTTAAAATTTAAATTTATTCAAACATCTGGATTTAAAGACATACAAAACACTGTAAACAATTTACAACTATAATTTTTTCTATATATTTTTTTTTACAAAAGCTCAACGTGTAAAAGCTAAATGCAAGTGTTTTACATTTTGCGTATACCGTTCACGGTAGCCTAGTGGTAGAGCGTTCGCTTCGTGATCGGGAGGCCCGGGTTCTATTCTAGTTTGCGGCGCCGCGTCAAACCTAAGACGTAAAAATAGGTAGTGACTGTTCCTTCGCCAAGCGCTCGGCATCATAAGTGAAAGTCACGGGTCTTTCGGATATCACCTTAAAAACGTAGGTCCCGTGTCACGGTAGGCGCTGGCTCGATAAAGAACCCTCACTGCTCAATGGCCCTGAGTGCAGAGTATAGGTCTAAATTTGAAGCCCTTCAGCGGCATACGGTGACGTCTCCATATGAGTGAAAAATTCTCAAGAGGGACGTTAAACAATATACAATCAATCAATCAATCATTTTGCGTATTGAAATTTAATTCAGAAAATTCGAAATTAAAAAATGCTTGAGATTTAGAGCCATACACTATAGCTTGAGACTACTATAGAAAGAAAATTGCAGGTAAACCCCCCTCCCCCTGCCCACTCATTTCCTCATTATATATAGGGATTTTTTCCTACCGTTTTCAAATAAAGTGATCAAATTTTTGTTTTATGCCTGAAAACCTTTTGACCATGCATTTCCTAAAAATACAGGTATTAATATTTTTTCACTCGCGGTGAACATTGTCGCTGTATGTTAATGTCGCTGCACTAGGATTATTTATACCGTTCATTCTGGCTTTGTGATCAGAATATGAATTTCACAATACTAGTG